ACACACTCAGCTGCTCACAGAAAGGGTGGAGGTTTGAGTTCACCCAGAGGCACCTCGAAAGAAGGGCCTGGCAGTCCACTTGCAAAACATCATCCATTGAAAACTCTATGGAGCGTGGTTCTACTCTGACACTTAGGGGGTTGCCGTGAGTTGGAGTTGACACAAGGGCAACTGCTGGTGCTGGTGACTGGGAGCCGTGATGACTGAATGCAATGCTTCCACGGCCCGGATTTTCTTTTTCTGTAGAGGGAGTTGTTAGAACAATTGACAACATCTCAGTAAGGTCTGCAGATTAGATAGTAATATTGCTTCTAGGTTACTTTCTTGATTTTGATCATTGTACTGTGGCTATATAAGGGAATTCATTGTTTTCTCCACAAGAGGAGAATAACACCTACCCTACAGCGTTGTTACGAGCTTTAAATGAGCTGATCCACATGGAGAACCCAGCACAAAATAGTCAATAAATATAGTGAGTATCATTGGGAATTCGATTGTAGGAAAGGGCGTCTTACTGGGGCTGGTGAGGGGGTAAAAAAATCCACTCCCACCCTCAGAAATGTCAGCTCAAGCCCAGAAAGACAAAGGTACTTGGTCCTAGTTACCAAAAGGTGTGTTCAGCTCACGGAAACAACACCCAAAGGTGCCCAGAATCAAAGAGACAAGATTACAACAATTCTCTGGACACCGTTACGGCTCCTACACAAAACAAAGGGTCTCCCTGTTCCAGCGTCAGAGATGAGTATATCTTTCTGTGGGCAAGTTAAAAAAAGCAATCTTAATAATATCAGGTGTAAGTCCTGAAACTCGAAGCAACAAGAGTTTATCAAGCAGCTACTGTGTGCTAGGTCCTCAGTACCCTCACAGTTGTGAGGATGGCACGGGACCAGGCAGTGTTGCCTTCTGTTGTATGCAGGGTCGCCATGAGTTGGAACCGACGATGAGTTGGAACCAGCTCAACGGGACCTAACAACAACCCCGTGCTAGGTCAGGTCCCTGCGTGGCACAAATGGTTTGTGATCGGCTGCTAACCAAAAGGTTGGCAGCTGGAACACACACAGTGGTGCTGGGGAAGAAAGTCCTGGCAATCTGCTTCTATAAAGATTACAGCCAAGAAAACCCTATGGAGCAGTTCTCTGTAACACACGGGGTTGTGTCTTAGGTTCCACTTCTGCTCCCACGTGTTCCCACTCCCTGTCCCTTCGACATTGATGGGGTGAGTTCTCTTGGAAAACAAACCTTTGCTTATTCTTTGTTGTTCCCTTTCTTATGTTTTCTTAAGTTTTGTTTGGCATATTTGTTTGTAAAACCGGTTGATTGATTAAGGAGAATCTTTCTTAGATTTTCACTTGATCTTTTGGTTAAGAGTGACATTTAGTAACTCTTTAAGTGAACTGCAGTTTAGGCCTGGATTCGGGCGTTTGAAGAGGTAATTCTATTTTCAAAGAGCTTTGAGCCACTATAAGCCACAGAAAAATTCGGGCACGGGTCGACCAGGAAGCCACTGGGGCGGTCGCAGGCGCTCCTCACCAGCGTTAAAGTCTCCCGTGACAGGATAAGGTGGTCACGAGAGAGGCTAGAGCACTAGGCTGCCTGCCACCAGCAAGAAGAATCTCGTGCAACAAAGGTCCACATTGGTCTCAGCAGAACACTGTCTAAACCCCGCGGCGTTCCTTGTTAGGTTTCTTTTCTGTGGCTCAGAGAAAACCTGGAAAATAGTGTTCTGTTTTGAAATCTCTTTCCCCCTTTTCCAAATTTAAAATGGGAAATAAGCAAGAGAAAAGTAAAATTGACTGCCCACCATCCCGCACACCCACTGCCTATATGGTAAAGAATTTTGGCCCTAAACTGGCAAGGTATTTAGAAAAATGGCATAATTTAACAAAAGAAAAGGATTCATTACAATGGCCTAAATGGGGGACTTTAGAATTGGCCAGATTAATCTTTTGAAGGGCAAATTAGAAGCAAGGGGATCAGAAGTAAAGCAGAATCAGTGGGAAATATTTTTTAATTGGTATTTTGAATCCTCGAGAAGGCAACAAGTGAATACTTTTGCTTCAGTTCAGGAAAACATTGCTAAGCAATCAAAACAGATCTTGGCATTGCAGAAAGGTCAGGAAGCGTTACTTGGTTCCTTAAGGAACAGAACTCCCATGGGTATTAAAGAAGACGGAAAAGGCTCGAAGGAAGAGAACAGGGAAAAGGAAGAACCTGCTTCTTTATATCCTGTTTGTGACGCCATTAACTGTTGTCGGGGAAAAACATCACAAAGTTTAGTAAAGTAAAAAGAAAGTTTTATTTGGCATATATTCAAAAGGACAAAAGTGGGAAGGGGACAAGCATGCTGCCAGAGCTAGAATGTCTGCCCGAGTCCAAAGAATATTACAGAATAGGCAAGCATGGGAAGACGGACAAGCATGCTGCCACAGCCATGTCTGCCCGAGTCTAAGGAAGGTTACAGAATCATCAGTATATATCAACATCACAAAATGGGTAGAATCATTGAAAGCGTCACTTTTTCACTGATTGGCTAGAAATTGTAATCTTACATTTTGAATCATCTTTCTTAACAATCATTGGTGCGGGTTTCAGTAATGAAAGTCAGGAGGGTCTTCACTGGTCCAACAAATTCCTATTCACTAAATGCTAATAGAAAAAGAGTGGAAAGTCTTTTGTGTTCTGTTTGATCGGCTTTATGGAAAAGTTTCCCTAAAAGATATTTTCCAAGATTATCTCAGCTATTGTCTTTATACATCAGGGCCCAGTTGATGTGTCCTTGTGAGTCCTTGTGAGCTCAGCTCCAGCTGGGTCACATTCTGTATGCTCCTAATCAGCTGCCATGAGTTGGGATCAACTCCATGGGCAAAGGTTTGGGTTTTATGTGCTAGGTTCTATTAAGGATGCGAGGACACCCAACGTAACCAGGACAGCTAGACATGGAGTCTAACGTTGGCCAGCAAGTGGTGGAGTCAGATTGAAACTCTGGGCTTTCTAAGAAGCTCTGCTTCTTACAATTCTGCTCCGAGGGTGCCTGGCTGCTTCTAAGACTGGGACTCTGAAAAACACCCTTAAAAACATTATCAGGAGACATTCTGCCGAAAGGTGGAAAATTTAAGGGTGCTTATGTTTTTTCCTCCAATTTTTGTGTTACCAGATGGAAGCCCCAGGTTCTGCTCAGCATGACTCGTATTGGCCAATAAATTAAGAGACCGAGGTGGGAAAGCAGAAAGTCACCTTTATTTCATTGCGCAAGGAAAGGAGTCAGTCAGAGCAGCTGCTGCCGAGACTGCTCAACGAGGGCAAGGGGAAAGTTTGCTTTTAAGGGGTTTACAGGTAGAGGATCCATACGTTACGTTAGCAATTCTTAATCATACTACGAAGGCGCAGTGCATCACCAGGATTCTTACCGGGCAGGCCAAGGAAAGGAGCTAGGATTCTATTGCAAAACTGCGAGGCAGGCCGAGCAAGCTGCTTGAGGCTGGAATTTTCTGCAGCCTGGGGACCTCTGCCTTATGTGTGTACACATTCACATATTAAACGTCTCAGGTTCAGTATGTGAAAATCGCATTCCTGTCTGATCGCCCTAGCTGGGGGCTCCTGTCGCCTGGGGTCTGAGGCAGCTTCTCAAACATGCGAAAGGTTGGGGGCCACCGCCCATCGTTACAAAGAAGCATCGGCTTCGCTGAGCTCGGGCTATCAACCCGCGACATAAGAAAACAAAATGGCGGCTGTGTCCCAGGCCGAAGCCACATACGGGTTCTGCGGCACGCCGGAACTACAACTCACAGAATGCTCTCGGCCGAAGGCCGCAGACCGATGTGGCGCTAGGCCCTGTGCCACCGCTTCCCCTTCCCCCGCCACCGCAATGGAAGCCCTCCGGAATACGTAGCCAGCTCCGGACGCTCGTCAACCTTCCTCGCACTGGCCGACGGGACTCGCAGTTCTACGGCCTCAAGGTTGAATCGCCGTCGCGCCTTAAGAAACTACACTTCCCGGGGGCATTTGGACGCCTGCGCACAAAGCCGCGGGGCGTACTACGGTTCCCGGCGGGCTTTGCGACGCGCACGGTTGCGTAGTGACGCGCTGAGCGAGTCGTGCTGACGTGCAGCGCGGCCCAGGCGGGGTACGAGTGGCGCAGTCGGAGCCCGCTGCGGCCCCGGAGGAAACGAGGTGGCGTCAGCATCGGCTGAGGCGGGCGAGCCAGCGAGGTGCGGCGGCAGCATCGGCGGCTCTAGGCCCCGGGGGACTCGGGAGCTCGAGCAGCGGCAGCGGCGGGACCTCTCCCCCTCGGAGAAGGCGGGCGGAGGCGGCGGCGGCGGCGGCGGGTGAGAGGGTGAGGGAGCGCGCGAGCCGGGTGGGGGAGGGGCGGCCGCGGCGCCAGGCCAAAGCGCGCGGAGAACGGCCTAGGCCGCTGCGCGCACGCGCGCTCGCCGCCCCTAGCTCGCGCGGACGCTCTCGCCTGCCTGCCTCCCTTCCCCCTTCCCGCGGTTCCTTTTGCGCGCGGGCTTGGACTCGCTGCCCCTCCCCCATGGCAATGGCGCGCGCCGCCGACCGTCCTCAGGCTCGCGCGCCCTGATCGCTGCGGGAGCGCGCGCTCGTCGGCTGCTTGCAGCCCCCCTCACGTGCGGCCCGGGAGGTCCCTGTCGGAGTTACTGCGGTGCGGACGGGTGGGTGGTGGAGGGCCTGACACCAGATCCACGTCCCCAGCCCCCGGCCCCTTTCCCCGCGCTTCTCTCGGGTAGTGGGCTCCCCCAACCCCCCCCGGAGGGCCCTGCGTTCATTCCGCTTCTCCTAGACTGTGGGGCGCCGCGCCACCCCCTCCCCCACCCGCCGAGGCCGAAAATAGGCCTCGGCCGCTCCGCCTGCGCAGGAGGGCCTGCAACCGGTGCTCCGAGAGACACACCGCCTGGGCTGGGTGCTATCTGCCATGAACTATCGCGGGGGGGGGGGGTGACCTTAAAAGAGACCACACGTTCAGCCTACATCGTAGATTTGTAGGGTAGAGCACGTGCTCCTTTTTTCTCTACTTTTCCATCACGTTGTCCAAATTCGTGCTAAAGCCTGGGAGGCTGTCGGAACTCTCCGTTGGGGAGAAAACGCCGGAATCTGTGTGAGAGGTCTGGCGTCTTGCTTCAAGCACTGTTGGGCACAACTTTTCTGAGCTTCAGTTTCCACTCACGCATCTTTATTTTCTGGATGAAAAAATTTAAAAATCTGTTCTGTGGTCTTTTCTCCTCTTTGTGGGCTTGGGTCTCTTCCATAGTGTCCACTCAGCTACTCTAGTGCCCCAGCCCTGAGCTTGCCGTTGTTATCTATGGCATTTTCTTGGGTATTCGCCCCCCGCCCCCCCCTTTTGGTGCCTTTTTTTTTATTATGTATATTGAATTTTAGTGTTCCCGTCTGTCTCCTCTTTTATTTGGCACCCCGATACTTTTCCCACAGAAAAAAATTCTCCTTTGCAGCTTGCTTTTATTTTGTGCTTGTAGTTTGGAAACGTTTTGCACACCCACAGCCTATGGGCCCGGTTTAAGAATCCCCAAAAGTGGTTTGTGTGTGTGTTGATGTTTCCCTTGGGTCGCTCCTTTCCCTTTAGTGTTGGGAGCACTGCCTTGGATGCCATGGTAGTGGGTGTTTTTGTTTTTTTTCCGGCTGCTCCCTTAAAAGCTCTCTAATTCCTTGTGCTTAATACCCTTTTGCTTAGCAGCTGCTCGTTTTCTCCCTCCTAGGGAGTGGGAGGATTTTTGTGTGAGGTAGTATGGAAGTATGGGTGAATGGTTAAGCCGAAGAATTGCAGGTCGGAAGCATTCTCTAAGGCAGCAGAGGATTTTAGGCAGGGTGGAGAGTGAGAAGGATTGGTATTTGACAAAATAGAAATAAAGATTAGAAGGTAGAGGAATTATCCTATTTCTTGTGTTGTAAAGGACGATTTAAAAAAAGAAAATCTTTTTATGCGTTTGCTCTTGACTTTCCTAGATTTGACTTCATTTGTCTCTCGTTTGACCTGCTATAGTTCCTTTTTTTTTTTTGCTTCTTTTTGGTTCTCCTGCTTGGGTTGGGTGGAGATCCAGCCTTAGAGGTTTCGTTGGGTGGTGGTGGGGGGTCATTCTGGAACTGGGCTTATCTCCTTTCCCTTCAACGTCTTGCCGACTTTTTTTTCTTTTTGCTTTAGTGCACTGTCCAGCTATTTCTGTGCTGCTTCTTCGTTCTGGAGGTTTTTCTGAAGTATATACTTCATTTAATTATTTTTCTCCGTTTCCTTTGCTAAAACTCTTTATTTTTGGGTCTTGTCTTGTGGTAGTTTGCTGTCACACATTTACACTTTGGAAAACTGTCTTGGCGGGGACGGGTGGGAAGGAGGAGTGAGAATGTATGTATTGCAGGAAACAGGAGTAGAGTACGTGTAGTCAAGAAATCTAACTAGAAAAATGGGGGCCTGGGGGTTTTTCAGGGTCATGCTGAGGGTGGGACAAGTTGAAGGGATAGAACCTGGTAGGAGGCATAGGGATAACAGGAGAGAGGGTAAGGCAAGGCTTATAAGAGAAAAACCAGAAAGTAAAATGCAGGGAATTGGTAGGGAAAGCCAAGGACAGTTCACCAGGATTGAAAGTGAGATATAGTGAGTACTAGTAAGTTTAAGGCAAGTAATAGAGAAGGCGTGAGAGTAGTAACAGGGTGACTGGTTTGATAGATTTAAGTAGAGGTTGAATTGAAAATAGGTAATATTTAGTGGGACCTAGTGAGACCTGAGGGAATTGTCAGTCAAGTGGGTAATCTTATTGGGGAGGAAATTAAAGGAATAAAATACCATCAGGACATTTGATAGGAGCTATTAATATTTGGAATCAAAGAAGCGGTCCCTTACCTGGGAGATGAAGTATAAGAGGATGATGTTGCCAAGGTTCATGTGGTTTCGGACGTGCATGCTGGCCTTCGGTCTGGGTGTAAGGCTGCACAGGATACTTGTTTGTTTTCAGCCAGTCGGGGCCCTTGCCCTGATACGTAGGGGCTCTTTAGTCCATTTGTGTATTTGTACAGTGGCCAAAAAGCCTCAGGTTGTTTCTCAGAAGAGTCTTGGACTTGGCCTACAGGCCCTTCCTTGGATGCCGCAGGTCTGTGTCTCGGGTTGATGTGCCCTGTTTGGAGGCCTCAGTCAGTTATCAGAGACTAGGAAGACGCCACTTGTGCATATTGGGGCCAAAGGAGGATACAGGGACAGTGGAGAGATTTGAGAGAAATACGATTCTTGTTGGTCTAGGGTGGAAAAAGAAGAAAATCTAGGTGCAAGCAGGAATGATTTAGAATTCTGTGCAGGAGCACTGGGGGAAAGGTTCTGAAAGCTGGTCAGTGATTTGGTGGAAAGTGAGCAGCGTGGGAAGGATGATGAAGCAGCCGTGCAGCTAAAGGAGGCTTAGCGTGGAGATAAATGTTGAAGGAGAGCAGAGATTTGGGTGGGGCTAAGTGGTTAGTTTGGGGCCAGGGCCTGACCCGTGTCTCCCCGCTCCCCCCCAGGAGCGGTGGTGCCCCCCGGGCACGGGGCCATGTACAACGGGATCGGGCTGCCGACGCCCCGGGGCAGCGGCACCAACGGCTACGTCCAGCGCAACCTGTCCCTGGTGCGGGGCCGCCGGGGTGAGCGGCCTGACTACAAGGGAGAGGAGGAACTGCGGCGCCTGGAGGCTGCCCTGGTGAAGCGGCCTAATCCTGACATCCTGGACCACGAGCGCAAGCGGCGCGTGGAGCTGCGATGCCTCGAGCTGGAGGAGATGATGGAAGAGCAGGGGTGAGGGAGGGCTGGGGGAGAGCCAAGCCTCGAGTGAGTGCAGAGCTGGGGGCGTTAGGCGGAGTGTAGGGAACTTAGGACTGGTTGAAAGAGGCCTATAGGGGAGGCGGTACATGCGCTAAAGATGTGAAAGAAGTTAAGGGACAGTTCAGAGTGGGAGATGAGAAAACTGTCCGGGGCATAGGTGGGGCTTGAGGGAGTCTTTGAGTCGTCTAGCTGGAGGCACGTGGGGAAAGGGGGGCATTGAGGAACAAAAGTGCTTTGAGAGAGAGGCGGAAAGGCAGAGAGACCTGGCAGAGAGCTAGGTAAGCTGACAGGCATTGTCTTTGGTAGAGAAGAGGAAGGTAAATGGATTTAGGGATTGACGCAAAGCCTTGGTAGGCAGCAAAAGCGGCACTTGGAAGAATGCCGTAATGAGGGGACTGTGGCCTCGGAGGGAAGTGTAGTTTTGGAAGAGGAGCACATCCAGGCAGAAAACCTTTTAGAGCAGTGGTTTTCAAACTTCAGCAGTGGCGCCTTTTTTATATTGCAGCTTACTTTGGAATTCCAGTCAGTAAAAGACTTGTTCTGGTTGAAGTTGGGGAGAAGCACCTGGAACCTGCCTGCTTAGCTTTCCTCTCTTGGCCCCTGAAGTGTTACATGTTTAAAATCCACTGTTCTAGAGGGTGTAGTAAGACAGAAGAAAGATGATGGGAAGAGGTCAGAGAAGGGCCTTTGAGTGATATTGAGTGGAAATCCTGTGTGTGCATGGAGAGGGAAGGGCCCTGTTAAGAACGAGGGAAATGTCGACCTGGGGACGGGGGAAGTGTCTGGTCAGTCCCTAATCTTGAAGGGCTTTGTTCTTCAGGTACGAGGAACAGCAAATTCAGGAAAAAGTGGCGACCTTTCGGCTCATGTTGCTGGAGAAGGATGTGAACCCTGGGGGCAAGGAGGAGACCCCAGGGCAGAGGCCTGCGTGAGTGCCATTCCCGATGTCCTCTGGACTCTATGCTGCTGCTTCTGCTGTCGTCTTCTCTTACCTGGGATGTTTTCCCTGCCTCTGTCCTTCCATTTCCCAGACCCATGTGACGCCTGCTATACTTTTGTCCTGAATACGCATTTTGTCCTGTGGTTCTGCCCTTTGTTCCCTATCTCTTTCAGACCTTTGCCCTTTGCTCTCTAGTGTAACTGAGACTCACCAGTTGGCTGAATTGAATGAGAAGAAGAATGAGCGACTCCGTGCTGCCTTTGGCATCAGTGATTCCTACGTGGATGGCAGCTCGTTCGATCCTCAGCGTCGTGCTCGAGAGGCTAACAAGCCAGCCCCTGAGCCCCCTAAACCTTACAGGTAATGCCAGGCTCAGAAGCCAGGTGTTCAGACACTATCAGCTTCTCTTCTGGATCCTAAGCACCGTGCTCTGTTTTTGGGTGGCTCATTTCTCCCCACAGTCTTAACATTTTGTCACGTTTTGTTTTTTTGAAGTTTAAATGTCTGAGTAATTTTATCCTAGCATTCGTTTCAGCTTCTTTTTATCTTTTCCCAGCCTTGTCCGGGAGTCCAGCAGTTCTCGCTCGCCAACCCCAAAGCAGAAGAAGAAAAAAAAGAAGAAAGACAGAGGACGGTGAGTCAGTTGGGAAGTTATTCTGGTAGCTGGGGCGGGTCTGTGGCGCATGTGCTCTCTTGGGAGACTGAGAATTCTTGCTGCCAGGAAGCGGGGGGCATTGAATTGTCAGAAATGTCAGAGAGGAGGTTACCAGGAAGGTCCCCGCCTTGAGAAGCAGTGTGTATGTGTGTGCTGTTTCAGCAGGGAAGGGTTGAGTCTGCACCTCTAATTTTGGCTTGCAGCATTTTTGAATATCTGGGATTTTTGTTTTTTTTTTTTCCCGTTTTGAGATTTGTTGATTTAAGGAGATATTTTACACATTTTGCGGAGTAAAGAGAATTCTTGGGCTTAGGTTTGGGTTATTGGCAGTGATAGGGTTTGGGCGCTTTAAAAACCTTGTCTGGGGTGGATTATAAGCGGAGGCAGGCCAGGGGAAAAGTTGCACGTAGTGACCTTGCTTCTGAACCTATCTTAGCAGGTCAGAGAGTAGCTCTCCTCGGCGGGAGAGGAAGAAGAGCTCAAAGAAGAAGAAGCACAGGTATGAAGTTACAAGGCGGGTAGACTTGGAGTGATTAGGGAAGAAGGCCTTATGAGCTCAGACCTAGGAGTTGATTCATGTTTTTTCTTCTCCTGTTCCTCTCAAAAAAGGTCGGAGTCCGAGTCCAAGAAACGGAAGCATAGGTAAGAGCTCGTTGGATTGTAGGGGCCGTAGTGGCATGTGGGAGTGGCGAACCATGGTTGGATGGCCTTGCTCTTTCTTCACTTGGTCTCTGGGAGGTTTCCTTTTCTTGGAGTAAAGTTCCAGGAATGGTCTGTGTGCTGCTCAAGTCCTTGATGTCACCGCTTCTCTCCGTTTCATTCTTTGGTTTTATTCCTGTATTTTTCTTAACGCCTTGTCTTATTTCCTAGATCCCCCACGCCAAAGAGTAAGCGTAAATCCAAGGACAAGAAGCGGAAGCGGTAAGTGAATTTGAGAGGAACGTGCTTAGAAAGTAGAAGAATGTCACCGGCAGGGAGGGGAGACTCAGTTATGTCCCTGACTAGTAGAGGGTTGGGGAATGGGGGAGGGTCACCCAGTATAGGTATGACAGCATCCTGAGCTGTGGTGGCTTTTGTTTCAGGTCTCGAAGTACAACACCAGCCCCCAAGAGCCGCCGGGCTCACCGTTCAACTTCTGCTGACTCTGCTTCCTCCTCTGATACTTCCCGCAGTCGGTAAGGGGTGGTCCAGGAGGAGGGGAGGGAGAGGGACCGGTGGGTTAATCAATTTGATATTTATTGAGCGCCCACGGTGTGCTAGGCGCTGCACAGACCATTCGGAAGACACGGTCCCTGCCCTCTAGGAGCTGACAGGCTAAAGCAACGGGATGGACAGACATATACATTTCCCCTTCTCTTTTTATTTTTTTGTTTTGTTATTTTTTTGTTCTGTTCTGATGTACACGGACTGCCAGAATAGGGGGGGTGGTGGTTTGTTCGTGGTGTCTGGGGGAGGAAGGAATCCTTACCCTGGCTTCCTTAATCGGGGAAGGCTTCCTGAAGGAGGTGGGCTCAGAGGTGAGTTGTGAATGAGGCGGGTAGGGAATGGGCTGGGTGGAGGGCCTGGGGAGGTTTTGGGGAGGAGAGTAAAGGGGTAGAGGGAGAACGTTCTTTGGGATTATGTTGGGAAGAGAAGGAGCAGAGTGGACTGGACGTGAATTTCAGCATGAACGATTTGAGTCTGGTGACTGAGGCAGCTTTTTGGAAGAGGGTTGTACAGTCGGCAGAGATGGATGGGAGCTGGGGAGGGGGATTTCTAGGCTCCCTTGAACTGATTTCACTCCTCCCCTGCCCCCTCCTCAATTACCTCCTTCAGGTCTCGGAGTGCTGCAGCTAAAACCCATACAACTGCCTTGACTGGTCGAAGCCCTTCCCCTGAGTCAGGACGTCAAGGGGAGGGAGATGCACCTTGCAGAGAATCAAGTACCACCAACACAGGGCAGCCGAGCAGCCCAGAGCCTTCTACAAAGCAGACGAGCAGCCCTCGTGAAGACAAAGAGAAAGACAAGAAGGAGGTACCTTCCTGAGTTATGGGTGTTCGTCGGGTTGCAAGGGAATATGTTTAGGACTTGAGTATGAAGTGGAGGGGAGAGGTAATAAGAAATGAATTCAATTGTGTGTGGGTTTTTTTTTGTTTCTGCGTTTTTCATCTGCATCTACTGCAAATATCTTCAGAATTTTCACCGTCAAGCTTTCACTGCATACGGTACGGGTTCTGCATCACTCTCCTGTGTATGGACATACACAGAATTGAAACAAAACTTCCTTTAAACCGTTCTGGTTGTGGCTCACTAAAATTTTTCAGTCCACTGGGTTGCTGCATACAGTCTGAAAATACTACTCTGGAATGGTTTTTTCAGTAAGGCAGACCCCAGGTTACAAACGTCTGATTTACAGACAACTTGTGCTTAAGAACAGACTGCTGTAAAGCCTATTATATAAAAAATTAGAGTTAAATACAGTGGTTCATAATAACAGACACGCACACTATTTCGTGACGCTCATGAGAACGTTGGGTGGCTTGGAAATGTTTTAAGTGTTTCATATGCATAGAAAGTAAGATATATATTATGTACTGAGACAAACATTTGATTGGTGCTAAATAAGGACTGTATGTACCCGTTGAGATTCACAAATTCGACTTAAAGGAAAACTTAAGAACAGAATCTTGTTTGTAAATGGAGACTGTGGTTCTGTTCTTTTATACTCTGTTTTAGTACAGGCCCTAATCATTCTTGCCTCAACTATTACAGTATAATTGCTCTCTGCTAAATTCTTACTTCTCCCATTTGTTTTCCATCTTATTATCCGGAGTTCCTTTCTAAACTTCGAGTTGGGTCACCTCAGAAACGATTTCCCGTTGCTTTTGAATTACGTTTAAAGCTTTTATAATTTAGTCTCCAGTGTTTTCTGCGCTACAGTCATCCTTGTTTCCTTGTTTAAGCCAATCACGTTCTGAAACTTTTGCTTTTTTTCACGCAGTTTCAGTGTAGTTGTCCATCCACAAGAGTAAAGTCAGATGCCACCCACTTTGGGAAGCTGCTTATTTTTCCACTTAAAGATAATTACTTTTTGTTCCTGTTGCATTTTGTAATGGTATTTGTTTTACAGTGTGCATTAGCAGTTGACATTTTGTGTTTCTCTATATTATAGGCCTGGGGTTTACAGATTGTACGTTTGTTTTTCCCGCTGTGCTTTGTATTGTGTGATCTCTTGTTACTGATTGAATAGTACTGCAGTGGTGAGGAGAAAGACCAGTTGGGGCATTGGGATGCATAGAAGAAAAGTTTCACTAGAAACGATGTTGGGATACTAGGGCTGATAAGTTTGGTGCTTATATATCCCTTACGTATTCTTATCCCTACTTTCTCTTCCACTCTTAGAAATCTGCAGCTCGACCTAGCCCCTCCCCGGAGAGGAGCAGCACAGGCCCAGAACCACCTGCTCCCACTCCGCTCCTTGCTGAGCAACATGGCAGCTCCCCACAACCCCTTGCAACATCTCCCTTAAGTCAGGAGCCAGGGAACCCCCCAGCTGAGGCCTCCCCCACCCGGGGGCGTTCGCCACCTAAGTCTCCTGAAAAACTTCCCCAGTCTTCTTCCTCAGAGAGCTGTCCGCCATCCCCTCAACCTACCAAAATTTCTCGACATGCCAGCTCTTCCCCTGAAAGTCCTAAACCTGCACCAGTTCCTGGGTCCCGCCGAGAGATTTCTTCTTCTCCCACATCCAAGAGTCACTCACATGGCCGAGCAAAGCGGGATAAATCAAATTCCCCTACGCCTTCCCGTAGAATGGGGAGGTCCCGTAGCCCTGTCACCACCAAGAGAGGGCGATCTCGGTCTCAGAGCCCTACCAAGAGAGGTCATTCTAGGTCCCGATCCCCTCAGTGGCGTAGATCTCGGTCTGCGCAGAGGTGGGGACGATCTAGAAGCCCCCAGCGACGTGGTCGCTCTAGGTCTCCTCAGCGACCAGGCTGGTCCAGGAGCAGAAACACCCAGAGAAGAGGCAGGTCCAGGTCAGCAAGGCGAGGCAGATCACACTCTCGATCTCCAGCCACTAGGGGCAGGTCTCGTTCTAGAACACCTGCCCGGAGGGGCAGGTCCCGGTCTAGAACACCCGCCCGGCGGAGGTCTCGATCCAGAACATCTACCAGACGGCGGTCTCGTTCTAGAACACCAGCCCGGCGGGGCAGGTCTCGTTCTAGAACACCTGCTAGGCGGAGATCTAGGACCCGATCGCCAGTACGGCGTAGGTCTCGTAGTAGATCACCAGCCAGGAGAGGTGGCAGGTCACGCTCTAGAACCCCAGCTAGACGTGGTAGGTCACGCTCTAGAACCCCAGCCAGACGCAGTGGCAGGTCACGCTCTAGGTCACCAGCTAGACGCAGCGGCCGGTCCCGCTCTAGGACACCAGCCAGGAGAGGAAGATCTCGGTCTAGGACACCAGCAAGACGAGGGAGATCCCGTAGTAGAAGTCTAGCTAGACGGGGAAGATCTCACTCTAGAACACCACAAAGACGAGGCAGGTCTGGCTCCTCATCAGAACGGAAGAACAAATCCAGAACATCTCAGAGAAGGAGCAGGTCCACCTCAAGCCTGGATGTGAAGAAAACTCGCATTTCTTCACGCCGTAGCAGGTCTCTTTCCTCATCAAGATCCAAAGCAAAATCTCACTTGTCTTTGAGGCGAAGCCTCTCAGGGTCCTCTCCATGCCCTAAACAGAAGTCTCAGTCGCCACCTAGACGCAGTCGCTCTGGATCGTCTCGACCTAAAGCAAAATCTAGGACACCATCAAGACGAAGTCGTTCTGGCTCCTCACCTCCTAAACAGAAATCTAAGACGCCATCAAGGCAGAGTCGTTCTAGCTCATCTCCTCACCTTAAAGTGAAATCGGGAACACCACTAAGGCAAGGATCTGCAACCAGTCCTCAGGCAGATGAACAGTCTGCAACACCACAGAGACGGAGCCGGTCTGGATCATCACCAGACCCTGAGGGGAAATCTAGCACACCTCCGAGACGGAGCCAGTCGGCGTCACGTTCTCCACGACCCAAAGTGAAGGCGGTGACTTCACCAAGACGAAGTCATTCTGGCTCTTCTTCTCCAAGTTCTAGTAGGGTGACTTCTAGAACACCGCCAAGGCAAAGCAGATCTGAGTCTCCCTGCTCCAAAGTGGAATCTAGATTGTTGTCAAGGCAGAGCCATTCTAGGTCCTCCTCGCCAGATACCAAAGTGAAACCTGGAACACCACCAAGACAAAGTCACTCAGGGTCTACTTCACCGTGCTCCAAAGTAAAGCCCCAGACTCCACCAATGCATTGTCTTTCTGGATCAGAGTCACCATGTCACCAGGAGAAGTCCAAAGACTCACCAGCACAAAGTAGCTCTGGATCCCTTTCCATGTGTCCAGGAGTAAAATCTGGCTCACCACCAGAAGAGAGTTGCTTAGACTCATCTCTGCAACAGAAAGGACAATCTCAAACCTCACCAGACCACGCATCTGATACTTCAAGCCCAGAAGTGAGACAGGTTCGCTCTGAGTCTCCATGTCTGCAGAGCAAATCTCAAACACCTCCTAAGGGTGGTCGGTCCAGGTCCTCATCTCCAGTTGCTGATCTGGCACCCAGATCGCCAGCAGGACAGAATAGAAGCAGGTTGTCCACAAGTCCTAGGCTGGGATTGGGTGTTTCTCCTGAGCAGAAGTCTCAGTTTGACTTTTCCCCACATCTGGGAACAGACGTGAAGTCTTTTCTGAGGCAGAGTAGATCAGAGGCTTCTCCAGAACCGAAAGAGAAAGCGAGCTTACCTTCCCAGGAGGATGTTCTTGCATCATATTCTAGACCAAGAGACGAATTTAGTCCCGCTCCAGTGCAGGATAGGCCCGAGTCCTCCCAGGTGCTCAGGGACACACCTAGAACCCCATCAAGGGAAAGAAGTGGCTCTGGGTCATCTCCAGATACAAAAAGCCAGAACAGCGGATTAGCTAAGCCCAGTCACGATGAGGAATTGATGGAAGTGGTAGAGAAATCTGAAGAACTCTCAAACCAGATCCTGCCCCTTTTGTCTCAACATAAAGAAGTGGCTGGAAGGAACTTTGAATCATCTTCTGAAGTAGAAAAAAGGCCTGCTGTGTCTGTATTTCTTGACCAAAGCCAGTCGCAGGCTGCTTTGGAGGCAGCAGAAGTTCCTACAGTGGTCTCAGTTTGGAGTGGGCCACGTTTTTCTCCAGAACGTAAAGAACTGTCTAACTCTCCTCCCAGGGAGAACAGCTTCGGGTCACCTTTAGAATTTAGAAACACAGGTCCTGTCGTTACAGAAACGAATACTGGATTGTCTCCTGAGGTTAAAGAAGATTTGAATGGGCTTTTTCTCAATCAGCTGGAGACAGACCCATCTCCAGACACAAAAGAACAATCCACAAGATCCTCCAGACACAGCAGTACTGAATTCTCCCCAGATGCAGTGGAAAAAGCAGGAATGTCTTTGAATCAGAGCGTCATTTCGCCTGTGCTTGATGCTGTACCGAGAACACCATCAAGGGAAAGAAGTAGTTCTGCATCTTCTCCTGAACTGAAAGATGGTTTACCCAGAACCCCATCGCGGAGAAGCAGGTCTGGATCTTCTCCTGGGCTTAGAGATGGTTCCGGGACACCCTCGAGGCACAGCCTGTCTGGGTCCTCTCCTGGAATGAAAGATGCACCTAGGACGCCATCCAGGGGCAGAAGTGAATGGGATTCTTCTCCAGAACCAAAGGCTTTGCCTCAGACTCCCGGACCCAGGAGCCGTTCTCCGTCGTCCCCAGAGCTCAACAACAAGTGTCTTACCCCCCAGAGGGAGAGAAGTGGGTCAGAGTCATCAGTTGAACAGAAGACCTTGGCTAGGACTCCCCTTGGACAGAGAAGTCGGTCTGGATCTTCTCAAGAACTTGATGTCAAACCCAGTGCGTCCCCTCAGGAACAGAGTGATTCAGACTCCTCTCCAGATTCTAAAGCCAAGATCCGAACTCCGCTTAGGCAGAGGGGCTGCTCCGGGTCATCTCCAGAGGTTGAGGGCAAGTCCCGATCTCCTCCTCGGCGCAGCAGGTCTGGCTCATCCCCTGAACTTAAAGATAAGCTAAGAGCGGCACCCAGGGCGCAGAGTGGTTCTGGTTCCTCTCCTGAACCCCAAGTTCCTGTCCCTAGGGCTCTTCCCAGACGAAGCAGATCAGGTTCATCAAGCAAAGGCAGAGGCCCTTCGCCTGAAGGAAGCAGCAGTTCAGAGTCATCTGCAGAGCATCCTCCCAAATCCAGAGCTGCTCGGAGAAGCTCTAGGCCCTCCCCGGAGACCAAGACCAAGTCTCGCACACCACCTCGTCGCAGCTCCCGGTCATCTCCAGAGCTGACTAGGAAGGCCAGACTCTCCCGGAGAAGCCGCTCTGCCTCATCCTCACCTGAGACCTGCTCTCGAACTCCCCCGAGACGCCGCAGAAGTCCCTCGGTGTCCTCCCCAGAGCCAGTGGAGAAGTCTCGGTCCTCACGCCGGCGGCGTTCCGCTTCATCTCCGCGCACCAAGACAACTTCCAGGAGAGGCCGATCTCCTTCACCAAAGCTTCGCGGGCTCCAGCGATCCCGCTCCCGCTCGCGGAGGGAGAAAGCCAGGGCAGCCCGACGTCGTGATAGGTCTGGGTCTTCTCAGTCCACCTCTCGGAGGAGACAGCGGAGCCGGTCGAGGTCTCGGGTTACTCGGCGACGGAGGGGCGGCTCTGGCTACCACTCCAGGTCACCTGCCCGACAGGAGAGTTCCAGAACCTCCTCCCGACGCCGGAGAGGCCGTTCACGAACACCCCCAACCAGTCGGAAGCGCTCCCGCTCTCGCACTTCACCAGCACCGTGGAAACGCTCCAGGTCCCCAGCCACTCACCGGCGATCCAGGTCTAGAACACCACTGGTCAGCCGACGTCGGTCCCGGTCTCGCACCTCGCCAGTGAGTCGGAGGCGGTCAAGGTCTAGGACATCGATGACTCGACGAAGATCTAGGTCGAGAGCATCCCCAGTGAGTCGCAGGCGATCCAGGTCCAGGACACCTCTGGTAACCCGCCGGCGGTCAAGGTCCAGGACACCAGCAACGCGCCGACGCTCCCGTTCCAGAACTCCACTGGTGACTCGCAGGAGGTCCAGGTCTCGGACCCCACCAGTGACCAGGAGGCGCTCTCGAAGCAGAACCTCGCCAGTCGCTCGCAGAAGATCGAGATCCAGAACATCCCCCGTTACCCGTAGGCGATCTCGGTCTCGTACGTCTCCAGTAACTCGAAGGCGGTCCCGCTCTCGAACCTCGCCAGTGCCACGCCGCCGTTCTAGGTCCCGCACACCTCTGGCTATTCGCCGTCGGTCTAGGTCTCGAACGCCACTGCTGCCTCGCAAACGTTCCCGCAGTCGCTCGCCGCTTGTTATCCGCCGCCGCTCCAGGTCCCGTACTCCACGAACGGCTCGGGGCAAACGGTCCTTGACAAGGTCTCCGCCAGCCATCCGCAGGCGTTCTGCATCTGGAAGCAGCTCTGATCGCTCAAGGTCCGCTACTCCTCCAACAACGAGAAATCACTCTGGATCGCGGACGCCTCCAATGGCACTCAATAGCTCTAGGATGAGCTGCTTCAGTCGACCTAGCATGTCGCCGACTCCTCTGGACCGCTGCAGGTCACCAGGAATGCTCGAGCCCCTGGGCAGCTCTAGAGCACCGATGTCTGTCCTGCAGCAGGCGGGCGGCTCCCTGATGGATGGTCCAGGTCCCCGAATTCCTGACCACCCGAGAACGTCATCTGTGCCAGAAAATCATGCTCAATCCAGAATTGCACTTGCCCTGACGGCCATCAGTCTTGGTACTGCTCGGCCTCCTCCGTCTATGTCTGCTGCGGGTCTAGCTGCCAGAATGGCCCAGGTGCCTGCTCCAGTGCCCCTCATGAGTCTCAGAACAGCCCCAGCTGCCAGCCTCGCCAGCAGAATCCCTGCAGCCTCGGCAGCGGCCATGAACCTGGCCAGCGCCAGAACACCCGCCATCCCGACAGCCGTGAACCTGGCAGACTCACGCACGCCAGCCGCAGCTGCAGCTATGAGCCTGGCCAGCCCCAGAACGGCAGGGGCCCCTTCGGCCGTGAGCCTCGCTGACCCGCGCACCCCTGCAGCCTCAGCAGTGAACTTAGCAGGAGCCAGAACTCCAGCAGCTCTGGCAGCCTTGAGCCTCACAGGCTCCGGCACCCCCCCAGCGGCTGCAAGCTACCCCTCCAGCTCCAGAACGCCGCAGGCTCCAGCACCTGCAAACCTGGTGGGCCCCAGGTCCGCTCATGCCACAGCACCAGGGACTATCGGCAGCTCGAGAACCCCTGCGGCCCTGGCCCCTGCCAGCCTCGCCAGTGCTAGGATGGCTCCAGCGTTATCAGGGGCCAACCTCACCAGCCCCAGGGTGCCTCTCTCTGCCTACGAGCGCGTCAGCGGCCGAGCCTCGCCCCCGCTCCTCGACCGAGCCAGGTCGCGAACACCGCCCGGAGGCTCCAGAACCCCACCGTCTGCCCCGAGCCAGTCCCGAATGCCTTGTGAGCGGGCACCCTCTCCTGCCTCTAGAATGGGCCAGCCTTCCTCACAGGCTGCTCTCCCGCCAGCGCAGGAGCGGCCCAGATCCCCTGGCCCACCTGCTTTTTCAGACCAGTCGTCCCGTTCTTTGCCCGCCCAGACTGCCCCTGTAGCAGGGTCTCAGGCTTTTTCCTCTGGGACCGTGGCCAAGACCACGTCCTCCGCCGGTGACCACAACAGCATGCTCTCGGGCCCTGCTCCTGGGGTGTTCCACCCTGAGGGTGGGGAGCTGCCTGCCTCGGCTGGGGCCCAGCAGGCCCCGGCACTGGCTTCCCTGCAGCCCACAAAGGAGCGGCGGAGCTCATCCTCATCTTCGTCGTCCTCCAGCTCGTCCTCGTCGTCCTCCTCTTCTTCCTCGTCCTCCTCCTCCTCTGGCTCCAGTTCTAGCGACTCGGAGGGCTCTAGCCTTCCCCCACAGCCCGAGGTGGCCCTGAAGAGGTGAGGGCGCTGGACTGCAGGAGACCTTCTAGGGCAGGGGGTGGGGGCGGGCTGGGGGTGGGGGCGGGAGACACCCTGTCCGATTTTTGGCTCTTTGAGGAGGTATGGGGGACCTTGGCCCTTAAGCTGGGGGTAGAAGAGAATGCTGGGGTGGGGGCTGGTGGGTGGGGGCTGGGACAGGTGTAAGTCTCGGAAGGCTAATTCTCTAGAGGATAATGATAAGTTTTCCGTCTCTACAGAGGACAGAACTAGAGGAAATGGACTTAATTTTACAGCAGGAGGGATGGCAGTTAGACCTCAAGAGGAACTCCCTGGGCTGGAAGGATCTTCAGAGGTCATCCCATCCCTCTCCCTGCCTCCAGGCAGGACGGCCCCGCCCCCAGCCAGCCTGCGCTCGGGCCTCCCCAAGCTGCGGCTCTCCAGAGGAAGGAGGCCCCGGCTTTCCACGCCTGAGCCCAGGGCCTTATTCCTCCGTCAGGGACATTCTTGAGGTTTAACCTTGATCCCTTGTGCTGCGGGCCCCAGCCTGTTGCTCGTGTTAGCAGAGGTCGGGCCGCTGGGGCCGCTGCTTGGAGAGCGCTCGCTGGCTCTCGGGCGCCAGAGCTCCCAGGGCCTATGTCAGGCACCCCTCCCGCACTGCTGTTCCTCCAGGCCAAGGAAGGTAGGGTTGGGGCTGGGGCCGCCCGGCTCCCTGTGACGCGCCTCTTCTCCCACAGGGTTCCCAGCCCTGCCCCTGCCCCAAAGGAGGCTGTTCGAGAGGGACGTCCCCAGGAGCCGACCCCGGCCAAGAGGAAGAGGCGCTCTAGCAGCTCCAGCTCCAGCTCTTCATCTTCCTCTTCCTCCTCTTCATCTTCATCCTCCTCCTCCTCTTCCTCCTCTTCTTCCTCTTCCTCCTCCTCCTCTTCCTCCTCCTCCTCCTCCTCCCCCTCCCCTGCTAAGCCTGGCCCTCAGGCCTTGCCCAAACCTGCAAGCCCCAAGAAGGCACCCCCTGGCGAGAGGAGGTGAGTGGTCCTTGCCCGATGGAGGGGGATGGGGTGACTTAGTAGAGAGAGGACCCTGGGGCGCCAGCTGCCTGCCGGGGGTCCGTGTGGACGCTGCCGTCTGGCTGCGGGGCAGGAGTCAGGTGCTCCTCCCCACCTGCTCCACTGCGCCCGAGACCGGGTGGGCCTCAGTGCCTTCCTTGCCGACACCCAGTCTGCCAGGCCCAGGGATTCTAGCTTTGGAATCTCCCCGCTGCCGCCGCCGGGGCTCTGGTCTGGCCAGCGTCATCTTCTCCCCCAACTCTGTCCACAGCCTCCTCCCTGTCTCCTTGCCTCCACGCCACTCTCTTCCACATGTAGCCAGAGGGATCTTTCTAAAACGCACACCTGGTTACTTCCCTCCACTCCACAAATCCTCCCGGGACGCCCTGTGGTCTGCAGGATAAAGCCCCACCTCTGCGGGGATGGCGCGTGAGGCTCCTCACCAGCGGCCTTGCCTGCCCGCGTCTCCTCTGTCCGTCCCCACATTGCCCTGCAGTCCAGGGGCCACCATGCTCTCGGGCCCATGCCTTTGGACATGCTGCTCCTCGGCCTGGAACCCCCTTGTCCGCCTGGTGTACTCCTCGGTCTGCAAGACTCCATCCGCCCAGACAGCACCTTCGCGACGGCTGCCCCGCCCCACCTCACTCTTCCACCCTGGGTCCCCTTGGCCCATGACAGCCCCCCGCAGGGGCTGTTCTCCCTACACACGGGCAGGAACTGCCCCCCATGTTGACCCACCTCCTCTACCCGGCCACGCTCCTCCAAGGGCAGGGCCTCCTTTATCTCTGCCTCCCCCGCTGCACCCCGTGGCCACCCGCCCGCCGGGCGCTCGGTGGATGGTGTGCGGGCGGATGGGTGAGTGAGCACACACAGGTGGGTCTGAGGCTGCCCCAAGTGGTGCGAGGTTTGGTGGCCAGGACCTGGGAGGGCGGTCCTGTGTGCTGGCTGGTGGGTTTGGAAGGGTTTGATGCTATGGGGACTCACTTTGCTCCCCAGGTCCCGCAGCCCCCGGAAGCCAATAGACTCCCTCCGGGACTCGCGGTCCCTCAGCTACTCCCCCGCGGAGCGTCGCCGCCCCTCGCCGCAGCCCTCACCCAGGGACCAGCAGAGGTAGGCGTGGGTCGGCCGCTCTGCAGACACAAAGGAGGGTCCCGTGTGGCCCGGGTGCCGGGTGGACGGCGTCGCCGTGTGCTCACGTCTCCTGTCTGTCGTGTTGCAGCAGCAGCAGCGAGCGGGGTTCCCGGAGAGGCCAGCGCGGGGACAGCCGCTCCCCGAGCCACAAGCGCAGGAGGGAGACACCCAGCCCCCGCCCTGTGCGCCACCGCTCCTCCAGGTATGTGTCCTCTGCCATGCCCAGGGCTGGGACCCGGGGCCTGAAAGGATGAGGGCCCCTTCTTCTGGAGCCAGTTCTCAGGGTGGTGGCCTCACACTGGGCCTGGCTGGAAGCTTCCCTGTGGGCTGGGCTCTCTGCGCTGACCACTTGTCTTCTCTCTTGCAGGTCTCCGTAAATCTCGGGGAATTCTACACACCCCGTGGTCTGGAGCCACAGGGAGTGCCCCCTTTTCCCAACAGAGCCACGGGAGGGCTCCTGTCTGCCTCCCCGCCCCGGAACCCTGGCAGCATCTAGCGGGGAGGGCTCCTTTTACCTCCCCCCCCACCCTTTTTTTCTTTGTTCTGTGAAATGTTAATCTCTGTGAGTTTTTCTTGGTTCATGTGTTTTGGGGGGCTTGGGGTGGGAGGGATTGAGAATGGGAGCTGGGGGAGGGGAGGATGCTCGGGACCCCACTGCCTTGATCAGAGGGGCTGAGAGGCTCTGCCCACCCCTCACCCCCGAGTTCCTGGGTGGTGGGGGTTTGGGACTTGGGACTTCGGCAAGGGGTTCCTGGAAGGGGGGGCAAGAGTTGAAATCAGTTGGCCCCTACTGCCCCCCCCATGAGGTTGTGGCCCCTCCCCCCAACTTTTCTTCATGTTTCTTAAAGGCATTTTGGTTTTTTTAAAATCTGTACAGCAAGAGCAACTTTTTCTGTCCAATAAAAATGAGAAACGCAGGAATTGGGTCTGTAGGCTGTTCATTAGGTGTGGAGGGGATTCAGTGGGAGAGACTGCCACCAGTGGGACCTAGACACTGGTCGACAGCCAGGAGCGTGTTGTCACCTGCTGGAGCAGCCACTGGCTCCATGGCTGGGGCAGGGTCCTTGGCCTTTCCACCACCCTCCCCCAGGACAGGTGGTCTGGGCTCACGCGATGCCCACAGTGCTGAGGAGCAGGCTCTAGGGGTGGGCCGCTGGCCTAGGCCTCCATCCAGGGTCACGGCGAGCCTGCGGAGGGGCCTAAGGGGAGAGGGCGCCATCCAGGAGAGGTGCAAAAAAGAGGCAGGACCCAGGCTGACACCCAAATCTCTTTTATTGGAGAGGTGGGGCTAGGGGATGGCCGGCCCTCACTGCACGGCCTGTTCGTTGGCGCTGCTTCCTGAGTCCTGCGGCTTCATGACGTCCGGCAGCTCAGGTGGGCTGGAGAAGGGCTCGATGCGAAGGGCCTCGAACGTGTCATCTGCGGGGAGTTGGGGGCAGAACGCCACGCTGCTTTCAGCCCTCACTTGTCCCCACAAGAGCACCTGTGCAGGGCCCTCCTGTGCCATGGCCGCCCTGCCACTCGGCGTTCACAGGCGGGCCCGGTTAGCTCTAGAGAAGCAGACTGCAGGCAGGAGCTGTGAAGTGGTGGCTGAGAACATGCTGCTGAGCCCAGGGCATCCCTGTGGGGCTGAGACTGCCCTCCTCAGCCCTGCTTCCTTGGAACTTGGTATCCAAATTTAGCCAACCACCCACACAGCCCCTGGGTCCACAGCTGCGAAAACACTTGTCAAACCCTGTTTCAGTTTGCAGAGACAAATGTAATTTTTAAAACTTCTCATCCGTTTGAGGGAGAAGGAAACCATTTCCTCTCCCCGGGGTTTCAAGACTGGGCAGTTGTGGGGTGTAGCCGATGAGAGTAAAGTCTTTGGAGTAAAGTCTTTGAATGTAAGTACTGGATTACGGCAGCCCTAGCAAGTGACCCAACTACCTGGGCTCAGTTTACTCATCTGTAAAATGGGTACACTCCAAGTCTGGACTGTACAGTGAAGCTCAGGGAGTAGCTGGAATGCTCCACAGAAAGAGCCTGGCATGGTGCTGGCTCCGGCAGGGCCAGGCAGCCTGCTGCTAAGTCTCTGTGCCTCAGCTTCCATGTCTGCAAAAAGGTAACAGCAAGGCTTCGCTCCTAGAGCTGCTGACAGGACGAAATGGGACAATAGGGATAATGCCAAGTACAGGGAAGACTCTCAATTAGCCGTCCATGAATTGGAGCTAGTACCCTCCTGGGGATTTCCAAATCATTTATGAAGTAGGCCTCAATCTGCACAAGAACCTCTGGTTGGCTGCTCATTTTTATATGGGGAAACCACACGTCGTGGGATAATGCCTGTACTTTTCAGGCTGGAAGACACTGCCCCGGAGGCTTGGGACAACAGCAGGGCCTCCCTGAAGACCCTCTTCCTGGTTGTGCCCACCCAGGCCCCCTCCCTCACCTGCCCGGAAGGCCAGCCCCACCGTGGCCGGGGCCTGGGGCCGTGCCGTCTGACTGGTGAAGCCACACTCGCCCAGCGTCTTGGCGTCCTCCAGGAGCTGGTCATCCTGAGAAGAGAGGCAGGGATTCAGGGAGCGACCCGGGACCACCCAGAGCATATGAAACATGGATTCCAGGTGAATCTAATTCTAAGGGTTCCCAAGCCAGTCTGGGAACAGGCGGACTTAGGTTTGAATCCCAGCTTTGCCACTCACTCACTGTCTGTGTGACCTTGGACAAGGTGGTTGGCCTTGATGTGAAATTTCCTCATCTGTAAAATGGGAGTTATTGGAACTTCCAACAAGGAACAGAAAGCACCGAGTAGGAACACAGCACATGGGGAGTGCACAGGGGAGGGCCCTTCTGGGAGCCCCAACAGCTATTGGGGAGACCACGGAAGCAGAGGCTCTGGGGGCTGAGGGGTGGGGTAGACAAAAGGCCAATCTTCCGGTTCCCAGCTAGAATCAAATCAGTGCACTGAGGTGAAGACAGGGCTGACGTATCTGATTTCTGCAATGCCATTTAAGCCATCCTTATTACTGCATGATCCGTTAGTGCGTAAAGGGCTTTTCGAACATTGGCAGGGGGTGGAGGGCATAATCAACGATTTCTTCGTGAAGAACTGGTGGGATCTGACTTGGCGCCCTTGCCTTGTTTCTCTGCATAACTGAGGCCTTCAGCGGGGGTGTCTAGGTGGCGGGGCGTGATTCTGATGGGCTTGCTGTGTAGGCCGGGAGTTAAGAGCGTGGGGGTTCAAATCCTGGCTCCATCAACGACCTTGGGCTAGTTAAGCGACCAGAGCAGGGCTGTCAAGAGCCGCCGCGGCGTAGGTGGGACCGTTGCGCTGGTTTAGATGCGCTGTTAACCTGCGCGCAGGGCCCGGCTCCCGGTTTAAGAGCATCCTTCACCGAGACGTCACCCAGTGCTCGGCGCTTCTCACGCTTCATCCCGCTTTATCCCGACGGCAGCCCGCGAACCCGGGGTTCCGACGCGCGTGGGCCCGTCGCGCCAGTTTCCATCAGTGACAACCACCCCGCCGCGCCCGCCCACTCCGGCGGTTTGGCGCGCCCAGCCCGCCCCGGGCCTTCGGTTCCTCGGCCCGCCAGCCCGGCCCGCACCTTGTACAGCCGCTGCTCGTCGGGCGGCCGCTTGAGGATACCCTCGACGATGCGTTTCAGCTCGAACACGGTGCTCGACTCCTTGGCGTCGGTGAAGATGGTGGTTTTGTGGCGCCGGATCATGAGGAACACGTCCTGGGGGCGGCGGGCCGGCGTG